GATGATTCCAATTTAAACACTTTCTCCCTTCATCTACACATTGAAAGAGACAAGCCTGTGTGTACATAACACTGTTTGAGGTGACTGTATCTGGATAGCAGGTTTCTTCTATATTTTTTGTTTCTTTCAAATTTTCTACAAAGCATGACTATTATTTTTAGAAAAAGTCTACAAATGTTATTTTTTTAAATACATAGAAGAGAAACTGTCTAAAAAAGACTGGCCAGAGACCAGTGGAAAACTGATGGTCCCCAGGAGATGAATCAGTGGACCCGTAAGTGTTTCCTCGGGTCATTACAAAAGGGGGCTGTATGGGACTTATAAAAGTGTAATTGTTACTTTTAAGCTCACTGAGCTTGTTAAGGTTACTAAGCTTAAGAAATTCCAAAATAAACACAATCTCTTTGGGCCTCCAGTACTGTCTTCAGTGAGAGTCTGTTAGAGTGAAGTTCAGAAACATTAAGAGCATCCCTCACCAAAATGCGTGCTTGGGGGCCCAGAATATAATCTGAGACCACCATAAAGACAGGATTAAGACTACCCGAAATAAATACTCAGATTCAGCAGCTCCACTTCCTGGACATCCCTCAGCAACAGAACCCTTGAATAGTAAAGATGTGGTTCCATCCCCACATCTGTAAACAAGTCTGTGAGTGGCTCTCCTTTCACCTCTGCATGCCTCAGCAGCACCGAATTTCCAGTGAACTTTCTCTCCACTGAGAGCTGCAGGTCCAATGAGGTGACTAGTGCCGGCATCTATCAGAAGAGCAGCCATCAGACTGTATCCCTGACCAGCAAGCTAACCAGCAAGGCACGCCCACTACAACCTTCCCAGGGCAGGAACACACTAAGGGAGCAGCGGAGCACTCTGCATCTGCACTGTTAGGAAGGGAAACAAACTCCCCAGAATAAGATCAGTGGAGCCCGGGAGTAACAAGTAGCCCAGGCAGCAGGGAGACCTCTGGGGTGGCTCTCAGTGTTCACTGGTGACAACTAAGAACTCTATCAATGCCTTCAAGGGTCATGGAGCGAGCAGAGCCCAGGAGAGAGCATTCTACAGACTGGGAATGTCGCCTCTGCACTGCACACCACTTCTCCCACGCCAAGGGAGCAAGAGCGGGAAGTGTGGCAACAGCGGCCAACATGGCGCCCTCCACCCACATTGTCCACCTACTTCCCCTTCACCCTCATTTCACTCTCCAACATTATGGAAATTTGTCCTTGTGTAAAAATAACCAGCTTTATAATGAAATCACTGAGAAAACGGGATCCATTGTGCAGCCAATTTTGCTGAAACATAATCCTCAGGAAAGTCAGGGGTCCTCAGAAGAGTTTTACAAAAACACTGCAAAGGATTTTAGATATGTTATCTGTGTTCTTTAAGTTACTTTATTTCCAAAAAGTCAGTGTTACATAATATTTCTTGAGTACCTTCACCAATGCCAGTAAAATTCAGGGAGATGTATTACTTCTGGACCCAGCTTCCACCTCTAAGGAAAGCTTTCCATTTTTATAGCTAACATGACAAAATCCACTTTTCAGCCAAGCTTCCTCAACACAGCAGTTTAGATACTATTTCAAATACTATTAAATTTAATGGCAGGCCTAAATTCAGACTTTTCATTTCACTTTTGCACCTACTGGAAATTATTTCACTCAAAATAATTATGTCTTCAGATGATTTCCTATTTCCACTTAAAGTGGAAACAAATTAGAACACTTCAAATTCTATTTGCACTTCCGAAATACAGAAATGACTCATTTATCTGGCATCATTAGAAAATGAAGTTCTCCACATTGGGCATTTTCCAGATAACTGCCACCCCTGAGAGCAGGAAGTGCTCTGTCCTGTCCCCAGCTACGTCCCCAGGGTCAAAAGCAGTGTCTGGTACACATCACACACTCATTAACACTCTCTGAACCTGAGTAAATAAAAGGAAAGTTCTTTTATTTTTAAACCAACTGATGAAAATTCTCCTACAAGGAGCACCCCACCCCTTTTTTGGAAGGGGTGGAGGTTGAGACAGGGTCTTGCTTTGTAGTTCAGGCTGGCCTTGAATTCCTGGCAATTCTCCTGCCTCAGCCTCCCAAGTGATCAGATTACAGGCATGCACCACTATGCTCAGCTTCTAGAAATGCCTTCTTTTAAAAAGAGGGAGAAAGGGCTGGGGATTTAGCTCAGTGGTTCTGCTCCCTGCCTTGCAACGGGCAAGGTCCCAAGTTCAATCCCCGGTACCAAAAAAATAAAAAAAATTTTAAAAAAATAAAAAGAGGGGAAAAAAGGCATTGAACAGAAATTAAGCTTTTCTTATTCCTTTGGGGATCAATAGAAACAGTGACTGCTCTACTCTCCTACTGAATACTGAATACTCTCCGTGCTCCCAGAAACCATTAAAATGCACAAGACCTTGGCTGCCATGTTCAAATGCCCTCCACGCTATACTCTCACAGCGTTCCCTTCTCCTAGATGAGCTGTCATTTCTGCTTACCGCTGCTGCCCCTGTACACACAAATGCCTGGCAAGGGTCTGAGTGAATTCTCCCTCTGAAGCAAAATAAAATGCATGGACTTGGTTACAGTTCAAAAGTCTTTTCCACTTACTTCTGACCTATGACTAGAGTATATGTTAACAGACTTCTTGTGTACATGCACGTGCATACACACATACACACACACACACTCTATGCCATTCTACATAAAATCTGAGATAGTTCTACTAGTTTTAAATGAGCATCTTAAGGATTTTCATTTAAGTACTGAGTTTCAAATATTAAATACAAGGAATGGCTCAACGACTAGCTCCAATATAAACTCCAGGGCATATTTTTTTCATCCATTTAGGAGCCATCAGCCACGACAGAGCTGGATTTCATCTTGCCTGATCAGGCCACAATTTAGAGTCACTGTTCCAAAGTTCATGGGAGCAAAAATCAAACACACTGGCAGCCACGGTGTGCTGTGCATGCCCAGAAAGGCCATCTCCCTGAACCCAAGAGTGGAAAGGATAATTTAAGTACAGCATTTGGTTTATACAATATAACTGGAGTTCCTTCCCCACAACAAACTTTGAATAATGTTTATAATTTAGCAATCAACTGAAATGATGAAAGAATTACCACAAATGAAATAAAATATTTATGTATTTCAAACCAGTAAAACTGTATCTTCAAAAGCTAAGAGAAACCTTGTTCTGAATCAGGGATGGATACAAATAAAATGGGGAATTTTGTTTATTTGGGCCTTTGAATTGCTTTTCTTCTTAAAGATTTAATGAACTTTCATTTGAAATAAGCATAGTTTACTAAATTAAAGGATCTGATTAAGTATTCCTTAAAAGTAACTAGCTGGGTAAACAATGGAGCAAGTTATCCAGGAGTCAAGAAGAGAAAAATTACTTCAGATTGTTTTATGAATATTCTTCCAAAATCCCCAATCCTTCAACAAAAATAGTTCAACGGAAGATTTCAGTTCCTGGTACTGCACTGAACAAAGAGAACCACATGTTTTTAATGGTTGCTCATAAACGACCCAAATAAATCTCCAAAAGAACAGCCGTGGTTCTTTCTGTATTTTTCCCTTCAAAACTCACAAGGCCAATTCAACACAGAAATAAAAATTACTGTACTTTATGGCACCACTCACTCTGTGACACATTTATTTGCTGTCGTGAACGTTAGTGCTTCAACAAAGTAAATAAGATTTAGAGAAAAATTTTCTTATTTGAAACAGCACAAAATATCCTTGCCATTTGTGGCAAAAAAAAAAGTTTACTCACCTCAAAGGAGAAAATATTCAAACTAAGTGAAAGACCTAAGTATTTACACATAATTGGCACAAGGAAGTTTTCCAAATAGCTTTCCAATCAATTAGGACACTGACTGAGATCAGAACTACAATTGCTAACTAGCATTTATAAGGAATGCAGCCTGCACAACACAAAGTATAACTTAAAATTTAACCACTCATTCTTTCTCCTCCCCCAGCTTTAACTCAGAATTAAACACAGAGCAACAGCACACCCTGCTGGAAGTAACTAATACAACTAGTGCAAGCAACAGCCCTGAATTTAAGATTCCACCAAGATGAGAATCATTTCGGAAGCACTGATCTCCCAATAACTGAAAACTGAGGTTCACAGGTATTAACCATCAGGTGCCTATACATGCAATCTTAAAGGTTAAATTAAGACTTAGAAAAACTCAAGTTAAAAAATACTGGTTTTTCCTGCTTGTTTCTCCTGCAGCACACAGCCCCAACCACCCCAAGTGATTTACTATATCTGGATTTAACCTAAATACAAATATTTTCAAATCTGCTTTCTCCAAAGAAAAACTGGTAAGAACATAAAAGAGGAAATTGAAGCCACTTTCTACATACAACTGTCTGAAGCCTGGCCTCAGAAATATCCCTAAAGACCACCATCAAGAATCCACAAGGCAGCCTGGTGGTCTGTGAACCGCAATTTACATGCCACTGGCAAAATGCCTACACAGATTCTGGCATTCAAAGCATGCAGACTATATTAAGAAACCACACGCCATGAAACTGCATCTAGAATGTGGCAACGTTTTCACAGACGAGGAAAATCATAGAAGCTATCGTCTGGTACTCCAGCTCTACCCTAACGCAAGCTTATTGGAGTCAGAGCACAGACCAGTATTAAAGACTTGTACGTGCACTCTCTGCCTACAGAAAGGAAACTGCTCAGTCCCACTGACCACCCTCCTTAGAGAAGAGACTGCTGTGGGTAACCAGTGTCAACTGAGAGGCCCCTTGCTCCCACATATGAAAGGTCCAACCTGCAGGGCACTCTTTGGAAGGCCAGCAATTCTGAAAGCCATCAACAAAGCCAATGAAAAGCAAGCGTTTCAGCATACTTTTCTTCAAGAACTCAAAGGCAATAAGCAGATCTATTTTACTGAAGTTGTTGCCAGTGGTATTACTTCATTCATAACTTCAATCAAGATACATGTGAATTAAAATTGTAAAGGGATACCAACCTCCAGCCTCTTTTCAAGCGATTCGATCCTGTCCTTTTTGCTAGCTAGGTTGGCCCGTGTGTAGCGGCTCTGCCCAGGAAGATATAAAACTTGACTGTAGCATTCTTCCCACACCTGGTTATAGGCTTCACTGGAGAGTTCTCCATGACTCATTCCTTGTTTGACCACTTCCATCTCCTGCACCAGAATGTCCTGGGCCTGTTCACAATAACAATTTCAGTAAGTTTAAGCACAACAAATACTTGACATCATCAAAGGGCATTAAAAGCCTAGTTTCTGTCCTCCTTGGCCAAACAGTGCTAGTTGGTTGTTTCATCTTGTTAGGGCTTCAGGGGTGGGGAGAGTTAAGTCAAATACATCTCCAAATATCATAACCATCTTATGAAGGAACCAATATGGCGACCTCATCCTAAAGCCAGTGAAACTAAGGCTCAGCAAGATTGAACAATTTATTCCAGACCACACCACTAGAATAAGTAAGCAGGTGAGACAGGACCCAAGCCCAGCAGGACCAGCGCTTGGGTGGGCTCCATCTGCTCCAGCACCCCACGCAGGACTCACAACCACATAGCATGGGCACAGGGACCCAGGCATCTTCTTGACATAAGCCTGTTTTTCACATTCTGAAGGAATGCCCCTGAGGTTGCCAGAACAGGATTAAGGGCACACACTAGATAATGATGGCTCGTATACCAGCTTTAGTTTACTCCTAAAGAAACTCAGTTCCAATCACAGCTTTACCATAGAAGTGGCTGTCTGTCTGAATGGCTTAATTTCACCGAGCCCATTTTTCAGCTGAAAAATGAGAATAACGCCTACCTGACACACTTATCATTAGGATTATGTAAATAATATACATTAAGGGCCCAGCCCAACACCAGAGTTCCATGAGAGATCACATAGCCCTCTCCCAGCCCTCACATAATGGCTCCAGAAAAACTGGCAACCACCTCAGTGGCTTAGAGAAGACTTTCAGTCTTTCTAATAACACTGGAAAATAAACATGTCAAAAATGCATAAACAAGAAAAATGACCAACAACCTAAAATGTGAATAAAATAGAAAGTCATTTTGATAGAAGATAAAGAATGGGTACTTTTTTGTTGCTGTTTTTGGTACCAGGATCTAACTCAGGACCTTGCACTTGCAAGGCAGGCGCAATGCCACTAAGCTAAATCCCCAGCCCCAAGAATGGGTACTTTTAAATAATAACTCTTAAGAGAAATAATACAAACAAACCTGTTTTAACATACTTGATGAAATTTCTGAACTCTATTAAAAGAGAAATGATATTTCATTCTAAAATTATATAGTCAAAATTTTTAAGTTCAGCTCTTGTCATTAGGAGAGAATGCAGCTAAGTTATCTTTAGAGAGTAAGAATAAAGAATCTGGGGCTGGGGATTTAGCTCAGTGGTTCTGCCACCTGCCTCAAAAGTGCAAGGACCCGAGTTTGATCCCCAGTACCAAAAGAAGAATGGGAATGGGCTGGGGATTTAGCTCAGTGGCACCGCACCTGCCTTGCAAGCACAAGGTCCTGAGTTCGATCCCCGCTACCAAAAATAAATATATAAATAAAGAATCTGCTTCGGGCCGGGGATTTAGCTCAGTGGTTTCGCCGCCTGCTCCGCAAGTGCAAGGACCCAAGTTCGATCCCCGGTACCAAAAAAAAAAAAAAAAATCTGCTTCAAATTTTTTTGGGAACAAAGAAAAATACAAAATAAAATACTGGAGAATATTTATCATTATTTGTTCCAAATAATCCCAAAGCAGTACTTAGAATTATTATCTTCAAAACCTGTATTAGAATTTCTCCCCTCAAAACCTCTAGGAGCAACAATGTGATCCTTGTTTCAGGTTGCCATACACACAATAAATTTGAGAAAATTTATTTCCTAAATTCCTTCTCCTCCTCATATTTTCACTCTAAAAAGAGGGAACTATGCAAGTATTGATTTCGGAGCCTGGCTCTCCGCTCAGTGATTAACTAGCCTGCCAGTACAGGCACTCAGCAGATGTCAGTTTCCCTGTCCCACTCACTAAAAAAGGAAGCTCAAAGGTGCCCAGAAATCCAGGGGGCGAGATGTTGAAATATAAATCTAAACTCTCCTCCCCTTTCTCCACCGTCTCAAAATCCTCTAATAAATATGAATGACGTGTGCAATAAGGAGCCCAGGAAGTGAGAATCTGAGGGAGTAGAGGGAAAGTGAGCAGGAGAGAAGACAGAAGAAGCCTGCAGTGCCTGCCAAGCGTGCAGTCTACCACCACCTCTCAGAGCCAAATACAGCAAAGGACACCACAGCATGGCAGACTTAGAAATTTACTCTTCATAGATCTGGGGACCAGGAACTTCAAGATAACAGGGTGCATTTGGTAAATACTATAGCAGAGGACATCACCCAAGAGAACTCACTCACTCCAGCGATAACACCTCTTGGAGGGGTGGAGCCTATGACCTAATCCCTTCTTAACAGTGCCTCCTCTTACTTATACTGTTACAGGGCAATTAAATGTCAACCTGAGTTTTACAAGAGACAGTCAAACCACAACAGCTTCCAACCAGGAACTGTCTTTATTTTCTTATACTACTACAGAGATTTCTACTCATAATCACAGCTACTTGCTCTGTCAAGCATAAAGAATGAAATGTATACCAAGGAAGAAGCAGGACACAGACTATACAAGAAACTTTCTTCATTATGAAAAGTGTACAGGGAAATCATGGGAGAGAAGCAAATTCTGTAAAAGTATTTCCTTTCCTTGAACTGGTGAGTGGTTTAATCTGTCAATACTTTTAATGCTGACAGTCACCAACTGATACTTTGACTTTTCGACATTACGATGGTATAAAGGTGCTATGCATCCAATATTTTGAATTCTGACCTGTTCCCAGCCTATCAACAGGCAACACAATGAACTCTCGTGAGAGGCTGAGCAAGAGCTCCTGCCAGCTGTGTAGTCCTGCAGGGTGCAGTGCTGCCATGAGGAGTGGTACGTTAAGGGTAGGAAGTGCATTTTCAAAATACTATTTTCAATTTATGATGGGTTATCAGAGCATAATTCATCATAAGTCAAAGGGTATCTGTACCCTTGGTTTTTCTTATGAGTCTAAGTAAACGAGCTTTAAGTATTAAAGGAATTCAATTCTATTCTGAAAGAGCAGAGTGGAACCACAGGAAATGGCAATCGCTGCAACTGTCAACCAAGCCAACAATGCCCATTAACCCAAAATACCTTGCCACCAAAACCAGTGTGTATCTGATAAACATGGGGCATGAAGTTATTTAAAGTCTGTCTTTTCACACACCTAATATGAACATTTATGTCTTAACCACATGCTTGAGCTGCTCCTGAGTGCCAATGTGGCAAAACACATTCATGTTTACCCATGACACACATAGCACCCAACAAATGCTTAAATCTCATGACAAAAACACTTCTGCTCAATCATACCTTCTTCAGCTCTTCTTTGGAGAACTTTTCATAGGGATTATGTTCCAGATAGGTGATGTGCTCTGAGTTATTGGTACCAAATCCTACAGTTTTTCCTTTCTTATTTCCAGAAGTTTCGTAGGGGTGATGTAAAAGGTCATAATGAAGCATTGTAATCATTTCTTTTTTGATTAATTCTTCACTTTTCTGTAAATCTGTTAGAGGTGGTTCTACATTTAACGGTCTTAGAATAGTTTCATTTACCTAAAATTTTAAAACAAGTACAATTAACAAATATACCACTGTATGCTACTGCTTTTACAGCTTGAATTAAATACCAGTTTTACATTTTCAAAAGCTATTTTATTTTCCTTCTAAAATCGTTACTGGGTTCAATACGTAACGATTACATTCACCATGAGGAGTTGGGGCATGTGTATAACACATCCTAGTTTTTTTACCCTTCCTCCCTCCATCTCTCAGTCCCTTTCCCTTTGCAAAAGATCTATCTCCCTGTTTCCTATTATCTACCTTTTTTTTCAGTGTAACATTTTAAAGACTGGATTGGGAACTACTTTCCTATATTCCAGAAGGCAGATGAACTTTTGTTTATAGTCTTTATGAGTAATATAAGAAGCATCAATCATATGAAAAGAAACTTAAAGCCTGGTGTAGTGGTGCGTGCCTAAGTGGTGCACTCTCAGAGACTGAGGCAAGAGTATCACCAGTTTGAGCCCAGCCTGGGTAACTCAGCTATTTAGGGAGAATATGTCTCAAAATACATGTCCAAAAGGGCTGGGAAGGTAGCTCAGTGCAGAGACCCTAAGTTCAATCCCTAATGCTAAATAAATGATGGAAGGAAAGAAGGAAGGAGAAGGGAGAGAGGGAGAGAAAAGAAATGAAACAAACTTTCTAAACCAGAAATTTCAATACTTACTTCAGATGGTCTTGGCAAATCTTTCTGGACAGCTTTGTGCATTCGTTTCATTTCCTTCACACGCTCTGCCTCACGTATGGCCTAAAAAATGATTTTATATCCCTTAGTGTATTTGACACTTCTCAATAAAGCTGAAAACACTTTAGTCTATCAGATCAAAAATGTTCAAAACGTAAAGCTGTAGAAATCTATGTAAGTTTATAGAAAGGTAATGTTAAGGCCACAGACATCGCTTCTCGGCCTTTTGGCTAAGATCAAATGTAATGTTAAGGCCACAGAGATCCCTCAGTCTATTTATTCTTACTACAACAGAACCTAAGAATTTCCGATGTCTACCAGAGCACTTCCCAAATGATTGGCCTCCATGCATCCAATAATCACTTTTCTGTCTAAATGGCAGTCTGAAACTCAGAGGAGACTCCTACAACACAGCCTTGCCCTTTCACCCCAAAGCTACTGACTTTTAACAGCCAGGAAATGTTTCCTGATTGTCAAGTTATGAACAGTGTGGTAGCACATTAAAATTTCCATGCCATTTCTGAGAAAGCAAATGTAATTCAAACTAGCTGAGAGCGCAAAATGCAAAAAGTACATCCATGGCTTCCCACCACAAAGCATGTTCATGTTATGTGGGTCCCTCAGACAAGGATCTCCACTGATGTCACTTACACAAGCCCCCTGAAAAAGTTAACTGAAGTCATCCTGAGTCATAATCTCACATCTAGTTCAGGAGTCAGGACTTAGCAGCCACAAGACTTGGGAAATTGAACTTAATTCATCTGAGCCTGTGTCCTCATTTCAAAAGTGGAGCTAACAATACATCACTTGGCTGTTATGTATAAATGAGAAAATAACTATAAGACATGTTAGTACAATGTGTTACTAATCTTCTTTGATACATTCTGTAGACTTCCAAATCCATGTTTTATTAATTTACACTTGACTTAAAACTACTTTACTCAAGGACCGGGGATTTAGCTGAGTGGTTCCGCCACCTGCCTCACAAGCGCAAGGTCCCAAGTTCCATCCCCGGTACCAAAAAAGAAAAAAAAATTATTTTACTCAACTAGCCCAAGATATACATGTTTTTAACATCTTTTCTTCACTAGACTGAAGCGATGCCTAAATGACTACTTACGTGTATTTTAGCAAAGCAAAATGAATTTGACAGTAAATTTCCATATACATTTCAAGAATGACTATCAAGATATTGTGAATATATTATCAATTACATCAATATATATTATTAACAATGTAATCTAATTCAGGATAATTACTTTAAATGCTGAAAACACTTCTAAGTAAAAACTGAGATATTTAACAGTGACTTTTCATTCTTCAAGCCTCCTGACACACTCAGCCAACACCCACACTTTCTTCTCCCACCTCACCCACCTGCTTTCGAGCGTCCACATCAGCAGCATCTTCAATGTACGTGTCATCCACTTCACGTTCTTCCAGCTCCTTCTCAGCATTTTCTGGCAGAACAATTTCAAAATCGTTCTTGGGTGCAGGAAGCCCCATTAATCCTAAACGAAGATGTTCACGAGATTCTCTTTCCTGTAAGAAAAAAATGGTTTTTCTCAATTCATACAAAGGAAGGGGTCAATCAGTTTTCTACAAGAGTCTCTAAAAACAATAGCCTAATATTAATTCTAGAATAATGATTTTGACTGCAGAACTATGCTTTTTTTAAAAAATGTTCTACCTGCCTATGTTCCCTACATGAAGACCAATCAAAATGTGACTTGTGATCAATGAAGACGCTCTAGGATAATCCAACAAAGTTTCGAAAGCACCTCTATAAGTGCAGAAAAAAGGCTACTTGGATTTTCATAGAAGGAATACATTTCTGACACTGAAATTTAACAGCAAATGAAAAGAACAAATAAAAGTTAACTTGTCCTTCAACTAATAAAACCAAACCTAGAAGATGCCTAAATCTGTGTGCATGTCCACTTACAATGGAAATATTAAATCACAGGTAGATGAAAGGCAAGAGTCCAAAGTTTCCCAAGAAACCACCCAAAGTTTTTGCCAATGCACCCTTGGCTTACCTCCCAGGCTTGTTTCCCAGTCCCCCTAAAAATAAAAGTCACTGAGACAATGGACATTTTTACTCAACTTCAGACCCCCTCAAGTGTCCAGGTGCATGTTTTATACCCAGTAGTTCCCACTTTCTTTATATAGCCATTCAGAGTCACCATTAGTTGATATCAATTTAGGCATTAATATAATTATAAATTAAATCCATACATTAAGTTAGAATTAAGTTATAAACTGAAGACAGGTCAGGACCATTGGAATTCATTTAAAGGAAAACTTGGCAAGGATTTTCTATGGCATCAGATAAGGTACCATAGTGAAGTAACATGGGCAGAAGCAAAAACTGTAGTTTTTAGAATTAGTTTTCCATATCACGGCAAAATATACAAAAGAAAATGTCACTGAAATCAACAAATATCAAATTAACGTGGATTTAAGATCTAGGCTGTCCTAAATACATGAAATAGAAGAACTCACGCTCAAAAATCTAATTTATGAGGCATGTAAAACTTTAGAGCATTAAAAAAATGTATATCCTTTAAAAAAGTATTAATGATAAAAGTTAAAATTATAAAAGCATTACTTTGAACATTGTTAATATTCGCAAACATACTAAGAGTGAAAAAAATGGCTAATAAACCCAAAATGTTCCCCCCTCATCTTACAAACCACTTTCCTTTGCTGGTATCAACAGATGTACAGATATGTACTGATGGGGAGAATTTTTAATTTGGTACCCATGATACACTAAAAAAAAAATTTTAGGGCTGGGGACAGAGCTCAGTGATAGAGTGCCTGCTTAGCATGTGATCTCTGGTACCACAAGAAAAAAAAATTAAGAGTATTAAAAGGAAATTGACATTTACCATCTGCTTCACATAAGAGGGATCATTGTAGTCTGCCATCCCATCCTCGGGATTAATGTTTAACTTATCTCTAAGTGGAGTTCTACCCGGGGTAGAGTTAACCACTGGTTTGGGGGTTGTTCCACTCCGGGGAGTCAGCCCTTCTGCTCCATTAGAAGGTGTCCTACAATAACAGAAATCCCAATTATATTAACTATCATTTACACTTGGATTGTGCTTTCAAATGTCTTTCACATAAATTATTTCACAGGGAATGCAGAACACAAGGAAGAAACAAAGATGCCAAAAATTCTGTCTGCCTAGTTTTAAATTAGTTCTCTAATTAAAAATAATGGTTTGAGGGCCAAGGATTTAGCTCAGTGGTTCCACCTGCCTCAAAAGCGCAAGGACCCAAGTTCAATCCCCAGTACCGCCCCCCGAAAAAATAATAATAATGGTTTGAGTTCAATCTCCAGTAATGGCAAATTAAGAATTTTTTTAAAATAAAGATTTGGTTTAGCCAACATAGTATGTACACACAATATTTTATTGACTTCTAATGGTCATTACATCTGACATCAATTTGGCTTCCTAAATAAGGTCCACCAATAATTATTTCAACCTTCCTGCTGTGTGAGGGTGGCTAAGAATGGGCAGTGGGGAGGAAGGCTGCACTCGCGCACCAGATGACTTCTGAGCTCAGTGTTCCCCTCCTATCATTCTTCTCCCTCCCTGCCAAGTGGCTGCCTATCTTGTCCAGTCATTCCTTCCACTATCATCAAAGTGCACAATCACATCTGGTATGAATAGGCTGAGGGCTAGGATACTCCAACAATAAAGTCCATAGAACAGAATTTGCAGCAACTTATACTTTAATTGGTCAAAGACTTTTTGCTACAGTTGTTGTTGTTGCTTACTTCCTATATGGGGACTATGTTCCAGACTGGTGGTGCTGCCACACAGCTGTTCCCAATAAGTAGGGTGTTATCATGAAAAACATGGTCCCTGCCCCACAGAGCATATGATTCGTTGAAGAGGGTTAGGCTCTCTTCAGCACTGCAAGAAGCATTAAATGTTCAACAAGCCAAGGCCATGGTGGTCCACACCTATAATCCCAGATGCTTGGGAGATTAACTAGGAGGACTGCAAGGTCAAGGCCAGCCTGGGCAACTTGGCAAGACTCTGTCTTAAAATTTAAAAAGGCTAGGGATATAAATGGGAGTAGAGTGCTGGCTAACCATAACAAGGACTTGGATTCAACCCCCACTACCAAGAAAAATTATGTAAAGAGTGGCTGCCAGTACTGCTTGATTCTGCTGGCATGTAAAGCCTGAAGTCGGAGGGGCTTTCCATACTAGACCCGCAGGAGTATATATAGTCTTACAAAGTTAACCCCAATACCTAGCCCTTAAAAGCTAAAATTCCATTTTAACACAGGGTGCTTCTGTAACATTTATATCTTAAAGATTCTTTTTAAAAAACAGCAGCTTAAAAAACAAAAGAAATGCAAATAAATACTAAGCTCTAGTTAATGATATGCATGTAGAATGTTTAGGCATGAAAATTGGTATCTGCTAATCCTCTGAAGTGCCTTAAAAAATAAGATGATGGGTGGATAAGTGATAACATGAACACAGTACTGTTAACAATCATGGGTAGATGAATGTTCACTACCATTCTTTCAACTTTTCTGAATGTTCAAACATGCTGTGTCCAAGTCCTTGAATTCACATTTTTCTAAAACATAAAGCACGTTTATTTTTACAATACCTGAATGGGGTAGAGAGAACTGTATTTGGGGTCTGAACAACTTGCCGCTGTGGAGTCACACCTGAGAAGTCGCTCTCATGCAGGGGTGTGTTGAGTCCTCCTTTTAACGGGGTGTCCACATTGGTCAAGGCCATGAGGTTCTGGGCTTCCTGATAATCAAGAAGGCAAAGAGTTATGTTTAGCAATTTCAGACAGATTACTAGAAATCTCCTCTCCCAGTCCTATTATACAAATCCTGAAGCAGGGAGCATTCTTCACATTTTCTCATGAAAACCAAGAGAAAATGAGTACTGGGCCATGGCAGCTTTTAATACATTCATTCTTTCTCAACCTAACATTTCTGATAGGATATGTCTCAAGATCCAACTTTTTAAAAGGAGTAGGGATGCAGTTCAGTGGGAGAATGCTTGCCTAGCATGTGCAAGGCCCTGGATTCAATCCCTAATGTGAGATGAGGGGTTGCCCTAAAAACAATACAATTTCTCTTAAATGATCATTACGTTATCCAATGATGTAATTTGTTACCAAAATAAAAACAGCTTTTTTATTTTGCTTAAAACTATCAAGTGTCAATAATCACACTGCAAACATTTTCAAACAGCACTACTGAAAGAAGTAGGAGGCAAAACATTTCTCTCTGCCAAAGAGGAGATAGGCAAGGCATAGATAAATTAACCAAACCAAGAGAGTGTCATCTCTTTCTATCAGCAGGAAATGAGACATAAGGGTGTCAACTCCTCAACTCCTCCATGGCGTTTTGCAGGGTTACACAACCCCCAGCACACAGGGAGGGAGCACGGAGCTGCTCACACCCACCTGGAGGGAGGGAGATGCAGGAAGTGCACTACCACCACACTGTGTCAGGCCAAGGACAGAAATGTGAGGAAGTCTGAGAAATTGCTGACTACACGTGCTGACTTCTTTCCAGGATCACTAAGCTATGTGACACTATTGCTTTCCCAACAAGTACAAAAGGCTACTGCCAACAGAAAAGCTGACTTCAAAATGTTACAAACTAATACACTCAGAAATGAACCACTTAATTACCGAATCTGCTGATTTGGCTTCTCTACTACAGAAACGCTCTAGGAGCTGAGCAGCCTGGATTCAGTTTGACATTGGTGGCCCTAAAAAAAATACAGCCAAGGGCTGGGGATTTAGCTCAGTAGTTCTGCCGCCTGCCTCGCAAGCACAAGGTCCTGAGTTCGATCCCTGGGACCAAAAAAAAAAAATATAGCCAAGCCAGTCTGTTCTCCTTCGTGACACCTTGAAGGATAATACAGTGAAAGGTCTCTCTACCACCATATGTGATGCCACACCTGCAGGATTCTGTCCTGGGAAGCTGGAGTCCGTGGTGTTCTAAGGGCAATGCTGCTGTTGGTGACGTTGTACTCAGAAAGGAGCGTACTGGAAGCAGAGTTTGTGATGCCAGACTCCTCGGCAGTCTGCCGGGCAATTTCACTTGCTTGGCCCACTTTTACCACTTCCTGGAGTTCTGCATCTGAAATCTAAAAGAGACAATGATCATAGTAAGCACTACTTTAGTTGAGAACCAACACAGCTTCAAATTAGCATATTCCAAAAAGATGAGTCCCTGAACCAGCGTGATGGGTACACAGGGTTCACTTTCTAAGGCTCTGAAAATTTCCACAATAAAATTTCAAAAAGCCTCTCCTACATAATATGGAAAAAGAATTCATATATGATGTAAACTCAAGCTAAAATGGCTATATTTCATACTGAAATCATTTCAAACCAACACATTAAAATACAGAAGACATAAAATAGTAATTTGCACAAAACTATCAATATGGGAAGAGTGAAAACAAATTAAAACATCACTCACTCTAGAGTACACCGAGCCACAAGATCCCTAAGAAAATCTGCTGTTACCTTAGTAATTTAACAAAATAAATATCCTAAGAAGTATTAAGAAAGAAAAAAATCACATCCAGGCATGTAAACCCAGCACTGTGGAAGACTGAGGCAGGAGGACTGCAAGTTTGAGCATAGCCTGGGCAATTCAGCAACTTAACAAGACCCTGTCTCAAAATAAAAAGTTAAAAAAGGCCCTAAGTTCAATCCCCAGCATTAAAAAAAAAAGAAAAGAAAAGAAAACCATAAAAAAATTCAATCAAGAAATATCATTACTAGAAGTGCAGCCTATGACTACATTAATTTCCGCTCACCCACATATCTCGAGGGGATGCAACCAATGCATCCACCTGTGGAAAGCAGCTCTGCCAGTCTCCTCAGCCCTCTCCTCACTGCACTACCTGACCAGGCCTACCACACTGAACTCCTCAAAACAAGAGGGGACTTGGGCCGGGATTTAGCTCAGTGGTTCCACCACTTGCCTTGCAAGCGCAAGGACCTAAGTTTGATCTCTGGTACCAAAAAAAAACAAGAGGGGACTCAAAGTTTCCATGTTTCTGGGGCCGAGGATTTAGCTCAGTGGTTTCACCACCTGCTGCGCAAGCGCAGGGACCCGAGTTTGAACCCTGGTACCAAAAAAAAAATTAAAAAAAAAAGTTTCCATGTTTCTGACCAACTTTAACTCAAAGGACTACAGTCTGTACTAAGTTGAATGAGGTAATGTTTGCATTTCTAGTCTCCACAACTCTCACAGTGATTTTTTACAGCTGTTATCTCAAAAAGAAAAGTATGACACAACAAAGCGTTCCCTAAAAGAGAGCCATGAAAGTCCACAGAGCCAATCATACCTATCCTGGTCAGCTACAAGAGGGCAGGAGCTGAACCTGCTGACAAATCGCTGAGTGCTGACAGTGACTTACCACATGATCGTGGGCAGTGTAAGACCTGATATAATCACTCATACAGAGAAGTGGCTATATATTTTCCATACTGTATCACAAATTATATTCATGTGTGCATTTCTTAAAGTTACACAGCACAAGCCTGATCATGGCACTTCACAAACTTGCTAAATAAATGAGATAAGCATAAACAATAAACAGGAAATAAATAACAATAAACAATAAATACAAACAATAAAAGGAACTGCTTTTATCAGATTACCTGAGGAGCAGGAAGTACTAGTTTGCTTCTCTTTTTAGTAAATTCAGAAACACCACTAGTTTGGAGAATAGCTGATGGTAAATCAGATTCCTTTTTCCGTTTCAAATGCTGTTTATCTTTTTTTCTGTCTCTTCCTTCTTTTTCACTGTCATGGGCAAGGAAGAGAAGAAAAGATTTTGAAGTCACACACAGACAACAACACTAAAAGTCTATATTAAAATACACCTTAGGGACCGGAGATATAGCTCAGTGATGTGGCACCGAGTCTACCCAGCAAGAGCAAGGTCCTGAGTTCAATTCCCAGTACGAAAAAAAAAACAAATTAAAATACACCTGAACAAATAAACCCATTTCTAACAAAATAAGTTTTAAAAGACAGAAACAGCATATATTAAGCTGTTTACCATAGCATTACTTACCTACTATATTTAAGAATACAAGCTTAGAATAGCAATAGCATTAATAAAGAGAACATTATTAAATGTACCTACATTTTGTACCAATGTAGGTACAAAAGTTAAATCATATAGAGGTTATGATAAACAAAACATTGCATATAATGTCAAAAGAAAAACATAAAACAGCTCCTACCTACATTGTGATTATATATTCATATAGAAATGTGTTTGCACATAGGGAAAGGTTGAAGATGAGTATGCCAGAGAAGAAACAAATACATGAAGGAGATGGAACTAAAACACACTGTGACCTTTTAAATTTCTCCTTGAGGGCTGGGGATTTAGCTCAGTGGTTTCGCTGCCTGCTGCACAAGCTCAAGGACCCGAGTTCGGTACCCGGGACCAAAAAAAAAAAAAAAAAAATTTATCCTTGAAACGGTCATTAAATTGTTAGGTCTTTTAATATTCACAAGACTTTTTGAAGGTGTTTAGTACTGACAAATGATACCCAACAGTTGTTAGGAAAGCTAAAGGCAGTCTTTCAAAGCTCTAGCAAAACCTTTTCCCCTTCTCCCTATCTTCCTTTCCCTCATCTTGTCTAGTCTTTCCAAATAATTACAAAGTGTGATTGAAAAATAGTGAATGAAGCCCAGGGATTTAGCTCAGTGGTACCACCCCTTCCTCCCAAGTACAAGGTCCTGAGTTTGATCCCTCGTATGCGGGGGGAGGGGTGTGTGAATGTTTAAATTTAAAAATCTACTATAGTAAGCAACACATTGCCCTCAATCCTGCCCCTTGCTTCAAACAGACTTATCTCACTGTTCTTGTACACTATCCCACTTCTGCAGCAGTTCTGAAGTCCTCTTTCCTGAGTGTCTTTAGTGGGTGGTACTGCCATGGCTGGTTCTATGCCATGAAATGATTCAAAACTTTTACCTTTCATGGTCATTTTGACTTTCGGTAAGACCCAGAAGTTGCACAGTGCCAGAGCCAGTGAACACAGTGCATGAAGACATGGCAAAATGTTTTTACAAGCCTATCTTTCCCTTGGATGGCACTCCACAGATGTGTTCACGTTAATTTTTTAACCTTATTTTTGATCATACCTCATAAAGACATTCACAAAAGAGGACTTCTAGAACTGCTTCAGAAAGTGGTAAGAACAATGGGGTAAGTGTGTTCGAAGCAAGAGGAGTACACTGAGGATTAATGGTGACATGTCTTTCACTATATAAACTTTTTTTTTTTTTGGTACCGGGGATTGAACTCCAGACCTTGTGCTTGCAAGGCAGACACGGGAACCACTGAGCTAAATCCCCTGCTGAACTTTTTAAAATGTAAGCATTTCACAGTACAGTTTTCCTTTTTAATCTCTATTTCTAGAGCTTACCTAAAGAAAGGACCTAATTTGAGAAATAAATGCAATGGTGTATATTTCAAGAAAATGCTGTTTTACATAGTAGCTGAAACCTATGCAGTAACTGGTATCAACATAAATGGAAGGTCAACACAGAAGCAAACTAAAAATATTTCTTAGCAACCATAACATGTTCTCCACATAATATGTAAATATAAGATTTAAAGAAACTAAAAATCTCTAAAAATAGCAAAATCCTCTGGACTCTCAGACATTAACATTCATAAATATACCTACTTTTCCTCATCAAGTAAAAACATTAAAGAATTTTTCGTTTAATTTCATTTAAATAAAAACAAGATAAAATTTTTCACTAAAAAACCCACAAAGAACCAGATTAGATTTTGACAGACTTCCTCAGAATCACCAACTTGTTCTGAGATGTACTGGAATGTGAAGATGTGCTTCAGGGAACAAAATGCCCACAAGACTGTTCTGGAGCCGTACACAGGACCAGGTGCTAAAAACACGGCACCCAGGGTCATGCGTTCTCAGGAAGGTGAACCCATTAAACAAAAGAAAATGTGAACAAGCCATGTTCAGCTGAATAATAAAAATCTGGCTCTGACAAAGGCAATACTCGACCCTTCACAGGATCCATCCCATGCCTATCCATTTCCAAAGTCAGAAAGGCCAACTTACGATCTCAGCTCTCCATCGAGGTCCTGCTGCCTTAATTTCCTGAAATCTGCATCCAGGGCCTGGTAGTTTTCCTCAGAGGTGTCATAAAAACCAAGGGCAGGCTTCTTTTCAAATGGGATTTCAGCATTATAATCAACTCCTCTCTTCTTTTTTCTTTTCTTTTGAATTTCTATGCCAGCTGCTCGAAGTTCTCTTCGTTTTTGGAGGGCAGCAAGACGCCTGAAGAAAAGAAAATGAATGCATCATCACCTTGAAAATCATTCCCACGGGGCATGGAGGGATCATGCCAGTTAAAAGAACTATCTGGGTATATACTGGAAAGAAATATAAACCCTTCTTCACACTATTTATCAAAATGAATTCTAGTTTTCATTTAAAGGCACACAAATACACACAATAAAGCAAAATGAAAAACCAGGAGGAACTATAACTAAATTTGTGTCTTATTTCTGGATGAGATTGTACTTCTTGAATACAAATTAAATACATGGCAAAGGAAAAGATCAACAGCCTTGAGATTTAAATTTTATAACTAAAGCACTACAAAAAATAATGAAATTAGCGCAAGGACCCAAGTTCAATTCCCCGTACCAAAAAATAAAAAATAAAATAAAATAAAAAATAATGAAATGAAAAGGCAAATAACAAGAAAAACTTTTTGCAATATTACAAATGTTGTGTGTTGTTTTTTTTTTTTGGTACTGGGGATCGAACTCAGGACCTTGCGCTTGCGAAGCAGGCGCCGGAACCACTGAGCTAAATCCCCACCCCTATTACAAATGTTGTCATTAAAGAATCTATGCCAAAAGGCCAGGGATTTGGCTCAGTGGTTCCCCCGCCTGCCTCACAAGCACAAGGACCCAAGTTCGATCCCCAGTACGAAAAGAAAAAAAAAAAACTTTTGGGCCGGGGATTTAGCTCAGTGGTTCCGCTGCCTGCTTTGCAAGCGCAAGGTCCCAAGTTTGATTCCCAGTACCAAAAAAAAAAAAAAAATCAATGCCAAGTATGCCAAATTTTTTAAAAATTCACTCCATGGGGAAAAAAAGAACTCCAAAGGAAAATAAACAGTTCATAAAAGAAAACTATAGCCAGACACAGTGGCACATGATTGTAATCACAGCTAGGAGGGAGGCTGAGACGAGAGGATCACAAGTTCAAAGCCAACCCAGGCAACTTACCAAGACCCTGTCTCAAAAAAATAAAAAGGGCAGGGTGTAGCTCGGTGATAGAATGTTTGCCTATCATTCAGGAGGCCTTGGGTTCAATCCCCAGTATCACAATTTAAAAAAAAAATAGAGGGCCAGGGATTTAGCTCAGTGGCACCGCGCAAGGTTCTGAGTTCGATCCCCAGGACTGGGGAAAAAAAAAAAAAGAAAAAGAAGCAAATAATTAAAATTACAAAATAAAAACAATAAAAGTTTTATTTAACTGATAATTTTTAAATCACAATTTAATTACCAAGTACCATTTGTGCATTTTTAATTATCACTCTTTTGTATTCTTTTACTGGCAAAGGTGGAAAATGTGGGCAGTCTCCCACAAGAGGATAGCTTTCTCCAAAGAGAAGCTTACACGTTATACATTAAAAGGCTGAAGGGCCAGGGATTTAGCTCACTGGTTTCGCCGCCTGCTGCACAAGCGCAAGGACCCAAGTTCGATCCCCAGTATCAAAAAAAAAAAAAAGGCTGAAGTTCCTCAAGTTTTTTTAAGCCAGAAATTTCATTCCTTAGCCTTTACCCTGAGGAAATAAATCACAACATGAGTGAAGACTGAACTTGAAGACTGTTCACCAAGCCCTGCTCTAATGCTGGGTAACTGGACACAAACTAAACATTCATTGATAAGATAATTCGTAACACAGCTGAAAGATATTATACAGCCATCTATATAACCTTTAAAAAGGCTGGAAATCTATTCTGAAGGAGGCCCAAGACACAGGGCTCTGTAAAAATGTTCAAAGTTCACATGTTAGAGTAACATATAAAAATTATACACATATGTACCCATCCATGAATTTTTAACAATGATAATCACTGTGGGGTAGAATCCCATTTACTTCTCCCTTCTTTCTTTGTAGTTTCCTATGATCCTATAATTTTCTTTTTGTTGTTTGTTTGTTTGATGCTATAATTTTAATAACTGAATAAGAAAAGTTATCAGAATATGAAGGGGAAGAAAACAAGTCACAAAACATATAAAACTTACAAAGATGTGTAGACTACACAAAAAAATCTACAAGAAATGTTAAGGTGGGCTGGGAATTTAGCTCAGTGGTTCTACCACCTGCCCTGCAAGCGCAAGGACCCAAGTTCGATCCCCAGTACCAAAAAAAAAGAAATGTTAAGGTAAATTAAAATCTGCAAAAATGTATTTAAAGCAATCAATGCTGGCCAAAATTGGGAGATTTTTCACAAATGCATCTGCTAAAGCCCTAAGCCCATCCACATGGTTAAAGGACTCTAAAAATTGAATCCCCAAACAGCTCTGGGTAAAAATGAAAGAATTACTTAACCCAGATAGAACTGAAAAGTGGCTAAGACTGGGTAGAAACTTAGCACCTCATCCTGGTTTCTGTTTGCTCTGGTAGGCCATCACCTTCCCATCAAAAGTTAACCACTTCCTCCTGCCTTGTAAAACCTAGGTCCTGAGTTTGATCCCTGGTACCAAAAAACAAACAAACAAAAAAAGTTAACCACTCCCAGCTGAGGATTGGCCAGTATGCCAACAAGCACCCTCAGACATGAAAGAATCTCCATCCAGGACCTGGCATTTCAACACTACCACTGGGGAAACCACCAACACAATGCTACACATCAGGTCAAGAAGCACTTCTCCATCAGCCAGGGACATGAAGGCTGGGGGTTTTTCCCACTGCCTGCATCCCAAAAGCTAATGAGCTGATAGTTCAGATGGTGTCATTATTAACTTCTCTAATGGTCTCTGGGCTATTAGAAGTGCTACCCCAACCATGGTGTAATCAAAAGGAAAGAAGAATAAAGCAGAAAACATCCTGGGTATAAGACAATGCCTAGTATGCATTCACTCACTTTTTAAATGAAGATTTCTATGAGACCCTAAAACTTGTTTGAAGGCTCATTAAGGCCGTCTCTGTACAGCATAGATTCCTATTACACAGCCAGCACCTGCCCAATATTAACAACAAAAAGTAACTCACTGGTTGTCACACCTTGTGTGTCTTCCAGGCATTTAACCCCAAGATGCCTCAACAGATGAAGCTCTGCTATGCTAAAAGAACAAACTCAACATATGGGGTAAGTAAGGTATGCATTACTCCTACTATGTCTTATAAAATTTTTTAGAAGATCTACTTTTTTCTGTAACTAGTACTCCAAAACGTTTAGGAGTAAAAAATACAAGATTTTTTCAGAGTAAAAAAGCTAAAGAATATAAGCAAAATGGAATTGGACAATTGAGATTTTTATTCACCAAACAGCACTGACAAATCGCACAATTTTAGTGGGCTAAAATTAGAGGATGCATCCTCTAATTGTTGAACACAGAAGGAAAAACTGTACCTTGCTTCTTCCAGCTGTTTCTCTCTTGCTTTCCTCTTGGCCTTCTTCCCCTGGGTATTAGCCAGGCGTGCTCTAGCTTCAGAAAGCATCTCAAGTTCATCTGCAAAGATAAAAAGTTCCTCTCCAACATAAGCAAGGTACATGAGTTACCCCACTGCTTAAAATGAGAGAAATACACTCATTAAATGGTGTAGCATAATGGAAATACCGTGGGTTTTGAAGTCAGAGAAACACAGATTAAAAACCAGATCCAAGGACTTAGCTCAGTGGTTCTGCCACCTGCCTCACAAGCACAAGGTCCCGAGTTCGATCCCCGGTACCCCCCCAAAAAAACACACACAAACAAAAAGACAGATCCAATGCTTTCTAGCTATCTGACCTTAGCCTTTTTTTGGGGGGGGGGGTGGTACTGGGGATTGAACTCAGGACCTTGCGCTTGCAAGGCAGGTGGCGGAACCACTGAGCTAAATCCCTGGCCCCCTATTAGCCACTTTTTTATGCTCTTTGAGCACGCTCCCCTGTAAACTTGGGATAACAATCTCCACTTCTCAGTGATGTTGAGAAGAGCTAAGTGAAATGAAATACATAGGCATCTAGCAAGTACTCATGAAATGGAGGCTGTATTACCTCTCTCATTAACGTCAACCGACACAGTACAATTGTGAAACCCTATAAAAACTATGAAGGAATTACTAGTCTCCATCAGCTACATTCTCCCCCTCAGAACTCTTTTTCTGTGCCAACACATCATTCATGTCTCTCCAAAAGAGAATCATAAGTGTCTTTACTGATGCCTTAGGATCAATCTCTACACAAGGAGGTCCCATGAAATCACACGGGAACTTCTAACACCCTCAAGAATCCAGGATCACTGTCCTCACCTCACAGCCTCCCCTTTCCCAGCCAACAAGCATTCTTGCTCCATATCTCCTGGGGAAGCCCTGGAGTCTGTATTTAAAAATTCCCTAGGGAAAAATGGATGTGTCACAGTCTGTCTTTGGGAACTACCACCTTAAAATTTTACAATTTAAAACTCAGCAAAATTTGCTGAGAGCTTATAATAACGCTGTGAGGCAAAGTAGATACTACTCTTCATCTGGCAGGAAAGACATCAAAGCTGACACACTGTATAACTCAACTAAAGTGAGAGCACTAATAAGGACAGACCTGGGTCTGCAATCTACTTTCTCTGGCTCTTGTTTCAATGTCTCACAGAATCATCATAAGCCTCCATCACAAACTTGCAGTGCTGCCTTCAGACAAAAAGTACATGATGGCCCCCAAGTTAAAGGACTAAGGTCCAATATCCTGATTTCTAGCCTGTCTTCATGGAACAGGAATGAGAAACAGTAGCTTTCGCTTCCAGAAACCTACCCACTAGTATTCTACTACTTAATTTATATCTAAACTAAAGAAATGAGACCAAAAGATCACAATCCAAAAAGGGTAACTATTCTCTAATAGAAAACTGGACACATTTGGAGAGATACTTAACAATCGCAATAGAACTGGGTTTCGAAAATGTCAGAGTTCAAAAAAGAGCAAATAAAAGTGTGAAAGAGGCCTGAGCAGTCCAGGTAAAAAGAAACCAATTGCTCTCAAGCACCCTTGTGTGCTCACCCTCATCCATATCAATCGGATCAGGGCGTGCTGGCTTTGTCTCTGGATTTGGATCTATTTCTCCAGGTTTAAGTTTTCGTGGATCGTCTGTGGTTTCCTCTTCATTGTCTCTTTGGGCAGTTCTGTCCCTATTAAAAAAACCCAGATGAGTTAATCGCAGTATCACACCATTTATTATCAGAATTACCAAGTTTCTTAGCTGCGGCCATTTTTTTTCCCAAAAAAAACCCAAGAGATGAGTATTAACAAAGTAGCAGGGTTGAATGGAATTTCTATTGCATCATCTGGAATAGTATTAAAATTCTAATTTCACCAAGTGCTTCCACTCAGTACAAAACATGATCCAAGCAGTCCCTTAATCATAAATGCCATACAGCCATACAAATAAAAACACTACTTGTAAAGAACCAAAATATTCAAAGTTAATTCTCAACAGTGTGGATTATGGATGAATTTATTTCTTCTTATACTATTTTTTCCCAAAATTTTCTTTTTTTAAAATTTTTTATAGGACAACCTATGTGGGACCCCTTCTAACTCTCAGGAGCTATTCTTATTCCCCATTCCTGTTCCCCAATAAATTTTCCTACCCTTAACCTCCGATGTTTCTTAGAATTCATTCTTCAACTTCAGAGAACATGAACTCGGAGTATCTGACATCTAGCATGTTGGGAGTTACATCTATTCCTCCTATATCAGAACGACACAGATGTCACAAAGAGCTTGCTATTGTGGCTTTCCTCATAGTAGCCCACCCTGTATCCTACAGGATGTACTTTCATCTTGCTTTTTCCTCCTTTACTCAGCCCAAGCACGCTCTGCAGAGCCAGGGAGGGGAAGGGGATAAAATAAAATTAAATAAATAAAGATGTAACTCAGTGCAAAAGCCCTGCATTCAATCCCCAGTACTGCAAAAAAAAAGTTATATATAACAGAAGACATAATTTTAATCAGCCACATGACATATGAAATATAGAATCCAACAGCTTTAGCTCCTCTGGTTTTAGTTACATCTGTAATTAAAAGATTTTTTAATTTTTTTTAAGAGTAGGAAGATTTAGTGAGAGAAAGATAACTTTTGTCTAAAAGAGACAAACGGGACTGGAAAATGGGTTACCCACTGACCCTGCTTCTCAAAGGTGTTTTATGGGACAAAGCCATGAGGTACGGTGGGCTCAAAATGGGACAAAACTATAGTCAACTAGTAAGATTGCAAGTACAGTTGCTTAAGTAATATTGATCAAATAAGAAATCACAAGGTGGACAAAACCATGAATAACCAATAAGATTATGACAAGTATAGTCGCTTAGGTAATACTGATTAATGGGGACCCAATGGGGAAGCAAGTCACATAGCAAGCATACAAGGATTTTCAGTAAGGGTGGGTCAGGGATCTTTCCTCAAAAAGGTGGGTTAAGACCTTGGCCCCACCCAGGTGACTGATACATATTTAGAGTATTAATCACTGCTATTTCTCTTCTTTTACAATGCTGGCCTTCAGTGAATGTGTCTTGACTGTCCTCCATGTTGGCTCAATTGTCCTCCATGCTGGCTCCTTATAGGCTGGCCCTGTCTAACTGCCTACAAGATATTTAACTTACCTATCCACAATACTCCTCCCTCTGAAGAAGTATCCCTAACTGCTGTGAGGGGGCAAGGGGCAAAGACTGTTCTGGCTGAAGAGGGTTATAGTTGTGATCTGCAGTCAGAGTGTAATTCAAAGTTTAAAGACAGGAAATGCTAAATGTTTGACCAGTGTCATTAACGTATATGTCTATGAAAACCTGCTTTAGAAGATTCACTTACAGGAGAAATTCGTAGTGCTCCAAGCACTGGGCCGCTGTTCTTCCAATGATTGGACAGATGGTCCTCCACTGAGTTGGCATCAACTTAGCCATGTGCAAGAGTTTTTCTTCCTCTTCTCTGGACCATTCTGTCTTCTTAATGCTTGGATCCAGCCACTCATACCTATCAAAAGATACAAATTCATCCACTCATCAGTCACCTAGGATATCCAGCTTACACATGCTCAGATCTCTACTGTCTGAGAAGCACAGCTCTCATTCTTTAATTACTAAAGCTGCCCTTTTTGACAACAGAATATTCACTGTGAGGCTAAACTTCTGCCAGTCAATATTCTCCATCTCCCTACATGCCAATGAATTTCTATTATGCAAGATTAGCAATGCTTAAAAAAGGTAACTTGCCTGAAATATGATCATAGGTCTTCTCAATTGTTTGTTTTATTTTATACTTTACTAGAGGCTTTGAAATGCCCTAGAAAAAGACAATGCCACCTCCTCTTTTTTACGGTTTCTAGTTTTCATAGTACTATACTTTCTCCTCACAACACTTTGGTTTACTACTTTAAACATCAGACTCACACTAAATGCTTTTCAGCATTGTAAGTCTTCATTTGGTATGTTTTTGAATTTAAATAAAACTGCTGTGGCATCCTCTGTCTTTCCTAATGTCACCCCAACCCGTCTTTCCATCCAGTACTTACCTGAATAAGAGGCTAGCAAACAGGATGTGGGTAAGCCCTCATAACCATCGAGTGGGAGCTTAGCATCAGAAACATAGAAATCAGAACTACTTCTTCAGGCTGAGAACCACCTTCCTTTTTAGAGTCCAATCTCTACATGGATCCTTTCTCCTATCTAGATGCCTAAGAAATTAGGTCACTCCTGTACAATCCAAAGTATGTCCTAGCAGGAGATGGGTTTGGGCTGAGGCCAGACTGCTCATGTAAAGAAGACATGTAAATAGTTTAATGTGTCCACTACCCTGTGATTTAAAAAGTGACGCCATAGGGGTAGTGTTGGTTTATGCTATGTTTTATGGTAGCAAATACACGTTATTTCAATTTTATAAGGAATTTCAATATTGTAAGCATGCCTAAAATTTAAACCAATCTAGTCAGAGCTTGAAAAAGTTCTAAAATAACAAATTTAGGGCTGAGGATTTAGCTCAGTGGTTTCACCCCCTGCTTTGGAAGCGCAAGGTCCCGAGTTCAATCCCCGGTACAAAAAAAAATTAATTAATTAATTAAAATAGTAAATTTATAAACTTTTGGAACACAAACCATTTATAAACTGGGGCCCATCTGTCCCTGAAAGATGTTATGCTTCACAAAGCATACATCAACTCATTCAGATGGAGCCTCTCACCTCCACCAGAGCAAAGAACTATTATCCCTAATTCGGGAAACACAGGAAGCAAGTGACAGCTGAGTCTAAATCCCTCCCTACTTCCCATTATATCATGATGCCTGCTTTCTTCAAGAGGGTTTAAAGTCCTGAGGTTTCCCTCCTCATAATCAAGGTTGCTTCTGTTTTCCATTTATTAACTGGTACATACCATCTGGCTTTGCACTGCTTTGCTGATTTCCTATGCAGCAGAGAGGCAATCCTAGACCACTGGTTTTTCCCATATTTCATTACTGCTGCTTTCAGAATTTCATCCTAAATGAATTATTAAAGAAAGAGTATAGTCAATCACAAAATTCCAACTGAGAAAAGATAAAATTTAACTCTGATAGGGTTGGTGTATAGATAAAGACACACATACACAAACATACACACACATGATAGGGTTGGTGTATAGATAAAGACACACATACACAAACATACACACACATGATAGGGTTGGTGTATAGATAAAGACACACATACACAAACATACACACACACAGGTGCTAAAAAATAGTATGAAAACTTTGTTGACTATCATGATAAATAGGAAGCAAGAATCAGCAAAATGTAAAACAAAGAAATCTCTTAGACGAGTATCTAATCCTCCCTTACACATACGTCCTTCAATAAAATGGAAGCGGGAACAGCCCGAGAAACACTACTTCACGATAGAGATTAACAGAAAGTATTCTCTAATATGTACCTATGATTCTCCTCAAAAAGGTATAGCTCATTCATTTATACAGTCATTCAAAACACACTTCCTGAACACATACCTTGAACCAGGTCTTGTGTGCTTGAGGAAACAGAATCAAATGGGATACATGGAGGCCTCAAGCAGCAACCCAGGACTCTGGTTGTGCAGGGCATTTCTTCTGCAGGCCCTTAACCCCCACCACGACCCAAGAATCCACATCTCAGGTCTAACCTAAAAATTAAATATCTCTTGCCCACCCCACTAGGCAGCTCTCCCAGTCTTCCCCCAGTACCTAAATACTATTTCACCAGGGTACCCAAATAAGGTGAAATGCACCAATCCCAGGACCAACTGGCAAGCTAAGCCACACACAACTGGGAGGATGAAGTCATAGATAAATGCACTTGGGCATTTTAGTTCTAGGCTTTTTTTACACTAGACTTGTGCTACATGCCTGTAGTTGAGCCTCTCCATTCTACCCTCCTCCCATTATCAGAAATATAAATAAACAGATAAATGCAGGGCTTTAACAATTGCACAGGAATCCTCCTGTTACTTGATTCTGTACATCTGTCTTTCCATCAAATGTTCTCTCTCCTCCAGCTGCAATAGCCTGACTCTCTCACTGCAAGCTGAGGCAGTTTTCAGAGCCTTAATTGTAACTCTGTTGAAGTATGGTACCAGTCTGCTTCAACACACCTGCAGCCAGGTACACACGGCCAGTATCCACGCTACTAAATTCATTCCCAAACATCTGCCAAGCAACCTACTTCATGTCAGTTACTGTCCTAGGCTCTACCGGTACAAGACTTGGTCCTCTTGCAGTGCTGTCTGATAGGGAATAAAGCAAGCAGCACTCACTGAAAGCCTACTTGTGTGCCCAACCAACTCTGTTCCAACCATATTAACTCATGTAATCCCTCAAAAGAGGTAGGTATTATCTCCTTTAGAAAAATAAAGGAACTGAGCCTTTGAGAGATTAAGAAACTTAGACCACTGGGGGTACAACTAACTTTTACAAGGTGAATGGGCAAAGATTTCAAGGTATGTTTCTGAACTATGTTTAAAGGATGATCAGAAGAAGGCCGAGCAATAAGAAGATAATCCAAAAAGGCCTAAGATGTAAAAAGACTGAGCTTCTAAAGATAAGATAGGTCCCAGAAACTAATAATTCAGCACACTCAATACAAATGCACTAAAATCTACTTTTTATTTACTTCCTTTCGGCTACCCCATGGCATTGTCCAAGGCACTTTTAGAAGCAAACACTACTGTAAGCGGTTTGTCCTGTGTAGCCTCTGCCCAGGCAATGGCGGAGTGAAAAAGAAACAGGCTCCAGGATCTGTCGGGAGGACAGGGAGGTTATGCACTGCGAACAGTAAGCAGACGGATTCAGACATCAACCAGTTCTTCCAAGCTGTCACTCAAGCCGCTTCCCCTCTGCAAGGCACTCAAGGAAAAAGCTGTGCCTATAGCAACTTCTTGGTGGGTGGGGCGTGTCCATCCCCCAGAAAAATCAACTCCCAGGGATGTTCCTCTCCACACCACCTGGGACCTCCTCCGAGGAAGGTTGGGGCGCGTCCTCCATTCACCAATGGCCTGTCCCACCCCTGGCAGCAAGCGCAGAGCTGAGAGGCGAGACGGTGGCATCCCAAGCCCGGTCCAGAGGGGTCCAGCCCTCGGCCCGGGTCGGCCTCGCTAGTATCCACGCAAACCCCGCGAACGTCCTCCTCGCCTCTCCACCTCAGCGCGCGTGCGCATAAAACACCATGGGGGCGAAGGGCAGCGGCCGGGGGTAAAGGGGACTCACCTCCGTGTTTCTCCACACGCCTCCTTTAATCATAATTCGAGGCATCCTGGCGGCTGAGCGTCCCGGAAAGCAGCCGAGAAGAGGTTCGAAAAGTAGTAACGTCGGTTCAGTCAAGGAACCGAAGCAGAGACTTCCTCCAAGCTCAACCTTCTGCTTTGAAGAGTTCTGCGCAAGCGTGGGGGGCGGAGGAGGGAGGAGCCAAGAAGTCTCGCGAGATCAGATTGACCAAACCATCAAGCAAGCAGGCCTGACCGCCCTGCGCCACGCGCATGACCAAACCACAGTTCTCGCGAGATTCTAAAAGTGGGCGTCGGCTGGGAACGCGGTGGTGTGATTGGTGATAATATACAGCGCTTTATGAAGCGTTTCACTGACAGAATTTTTTTTTAATTTTGGGGGGGCTTTTTTGAGGGAGTGTGTCTCTTGTAGTACAGGCTGGCCTTGAACTCACTGTGTGTAACCCAGGCTGGCCTCTAACTTGGGGCGACCCTCCTGCCTCAGCCTGCAGAGTGCTGGGGTTACAGGCGTGCGTCACCAGCCCGGCACTGACCTCCGACTGTGTACAAATTTATATCAGTGAGCTGGTGGGGTCGGGCCCGTCCTCCTAGAGTGCAGCACTGGAAGGACACCCGTCATCTCCCACCTTTCCTAGACCCCCTCAAAAGTACATCGCCCTAAATCTGGGACAAGCCTCAGTCCTGGAGGAGGTGTTTCTGTACTCAGATGCTTCCTCTTGATTTTCCAGCCAAAAAAGAAAACCATCTCTGGGCTTCCCCCATGAGCTTGAGGGACTCCAGGTCTAAAATGTTTCACTAAGTCAAGTTTTATTTATAAGCAGTATTACACCTGCCTAGCTTTTCAAGGCCAGATGGCTAGGAGCAAAAGAAACGGTCTAACCAAACTGCGTTCCTCTTACTGGAAATGTGAACTGTTAGTGGAATCTGCAGAATATTAATAAATGTTTGAAGTTTAATACCTACTCTCATTTGACCTAGCTATTCCTCTTCTTGGTATCTTCCCTAAAGAATTAAAAGCATCATACCACAGCAATATATGCACACCCTTGTTTATAGCGGCACAGTTTGTAATAGCTAAATCTTGGAAACAGCCCAAATGGCCATCAACCAAAGAGTGGGGTTTTTTTATACAATGGAGTACTACTCTGCCATAAACAAGGATGAGCTTCAGACATTTATAGCTAAATGGATGCACCTTGAGACCATACTCTTAAGTGAAATAAATCGGACACACATGTTTAAATACCCCATTGTTTCTCTGGTGTGAGAAACTGAAAGTGGAAATAAGGACTAAAATGTATAAAAGATATTGGGAAATGGGAAGAAAATGTTCTAATGGGAAGAGGAACAAGGGAGGAAGGAGGGAGAAAGTAAGGAAGGGACATGAAAATGGAAAAAATGGAAACAAAGCTTATGTACATAGGGAGGGGAGGGGGCTTGACGGAGGAATGGGATCAAATAAAATTCATTTAAAAAATTTAACCAATGGGGCCAGGGATTTAGCTCAGCGGTTTCACCTCCTGCCCCACAAGCACAAGGACCCAAGTTCGATCCCCAGTACCAAAAAAAAAAAAAAAGACACTTTCTTACTAAAAATTTAACCAATAATATATTCAAGGGTGATTCTGAAAAAAATACCTACTAGAAATTTAATCCCCAGTACCACAGTCAATCAGTTAACAAAATGAGAATGCTTTTACCCCCAAATAATGAAACTCACTGCTATGATCTGAATGTCTATGTCTCCCCAGCATATGTAGGCTGACAAATCAAACCCTGAGGTGATGGTATTAGGAGGGGAGGCCGTCGTAAAAGAGACCCCCGAGAGCTACTTGTCCCCGCCACCATAGGACACAGGAGAAGGCTCATCTTCTCCTGTGGATCAGACAGCGGCCCCTGCTACACGCTAAACTGTCAGCACCTTGAGTTTGGCCCTCACAGCCTCCAAAACTACAGGAAATAAATTCCTGTTGTCAATGGGCCACCCTGTTTATGGGGTTCAGTTACAGCAGAATGAGAGGACTAATTTATTCACACAATGTCTGTTTTACCACTGATTTAAAGGCATCTGGGAAAATAAAATATAACTGAGTAAAACAGAATGTGGGGTGTGAATTAGTAGGACTGCATTAATGTTAAACTCTTTGAGTCTGATATTTGTGTGTCGCTGTTGGAGAATATCCCTGACTTTAGGGAGACACGCTGAGGTTATGTAGGAGATACGGAAGTGTACAGAGGTATGATATCCACCACTCACAAATGGTTCCACAAAGCAATAATAGTAATTGTGTGTGTGTGTGTGTGTGTGTGTGTGTGTGTCTGAGAGAGAGAGGGAGGGAGGGAGGGAGAGAGAGAGAGAGAACGTAGACAGATACTAACAACTGTGGGTAAAAGGTATCAAGTATTTGTTGTATGATTCTTGTAATATTTCAGAACCTAAAATTAAATGAGACTAAGCACAGTGATTCTTCATTAGAACCCAATATCTAGTTCAGAACAGTTACACTGTCAGCCCCAGCACCGGAAGATGCTCGTCAGGGCACGGGCAGCCAGGTCTCTTCAGGTTTGCCTGGGGAAGTCCACACCTGCAGATAGAGGCACAGGGGGGTTAGTGGCGGTGTCTCCCGGCTGACTGCCGTCAGCCAGTACACGTGACCCTGAATGCACAGCCATGATGTCTGCCCCGGGGACCACTCGGGGCAGAGGACACATCTCTCCAGGTTGAAGCCTCTCAGAATCCCGCTCTTCAGGAAGCCACTAGTGTTCACACTGTTGTTTTTTGAAGGTTCTTTGACATACCGGAAGGGAATAAACCTCCCATTAAAGGTGTTGCTGGGTGCCAATTGTCCAGCTCCTCAACTTCTCTTATCTCATTCTTCAGACGGTTGGCCTTCTCCTTCACCCAGAAAGGCAAGCTGCAGGAACAAGACGGTTCCCTGAGCAGGGGCTTGTCTGGTGTAGAATTTGCAAACACTAGCTGCAGATACAGCACGATGCAAATGCAAATGAAATAAAGTAAGAATCGTGATGGGGGGGGCGGGGGTTGAGATAGCGTCTCGCTATGTAGCCCAGGCTGTCCTGGAACTCTTGGTGATTCTCCTCCTGCCTCAGCCTCCTAAGCGCTGGGACCACAGGTGTGTGCCACCACGCCCAGCCAAAAATTGTAATCTTAATACCTGGCGAGTTACAATTTAGGACAGATAGCATTAAATAATAAAAATAAAGCTGGGGATTTACCTCAGTGGCACCACACCTGCCTTGCAAGAGCAAGGTCCTGAGTTCCATCCCTGGTACCAGAAAAAAAATAAATAAGAAAAAAAAAGATAATATCAGACACAATTAACAAGGATAGGGAGGAGCATACTAGTATTCTGACATTTTAACACACAAACTCTCAGCCAAGTGGACAAAAAAAGAAAATATAGGGACTAAACAACATAACCAATAAGGGCAACCTTCTGAGTCTGTATCTAAACTTTGTATCCTGATTAAATACCAGTAGAATACACTTACCCAGGCATGGCAGCACACACCTATAATCCCAGTACTCTGGGAGGCTGAGGCAGGAGGATCATAAATTAAAGTTCAAGCCCAGCCTTTCTCAAAATTTTAAAAAGGGTTGCAGGGATAAAGTTTGGTGCAAAGGCCCTGGGGTCAAGAAGAAGTGCCAAGAAGGAGAGGAAGAGGAAGAGAAGGAGGGAAAAGAAAAGAAAAAGATCAAGCCAATAATAATTTAAAATAAAAATATCTTACAAATTACAAATGACTTAACTGCCTCCTAGTGTAAAGCTTGGCACTCTTTAAAAGAAAACAAAATCCATACACTCAACAATATGAAATTGCAATGTCCAGTAACCAAATAAATGTTACTAGCTTTGTCACAAGCCAAGAAAATGTGAGCCAGGTGTTACCCTTGTAATCCCAGAACTTGAAAGGCTGAGGCAGAAGGATTGCTGTGAGTTCAAGGCCAGTCTGAACTGCATAGTGAGACCCTCTCTCAAAAAAAGAAAAAAGAAAAAAAAAGAAAAGAAAATGTGACCCAAAACCAGGAGAAAAATCATTCAGTAGAAATATAAAAATACTAAGTAAAGAAATCAAAGATATTTAAAAATCAAATAAGCCAGGCACAGTGACTCGTGCTTGTAACCGCAGCTATTCAGGAGGCTGAGGCAGGAGGATTGCCATGAGTTGGAGACCAGCCTGGGCTACATAGTGAGTTCAAGGTCAGCCTGAACTACAAAGAAGACCTTGTCTCCAAAAACCCCAAAAAAGAACTTGTCTCAAAAAATATAAAGGGCTGGCAATGTGGCTCAGGGGTAGAATGGTTGCCTAGTATGTGCAAGGGCCAGGGTTCACCCTAACACTTTACCTCTCAAAAAAAATCAAGTGATATTTCTAGAGACTAAAAACACAACAGTCACTAAATGGGAATAGCAGCAAATTAATGTAGAATAATGAGTTGAGGAAACAATAAATGGCAAATCCAGCAACAAACTGACACTGGAGCCTTTATGGCTCCTGCCCCTGTACACATGACTCCTGTACATCCCCAACAGTGGAAAAAGTGACAGATGTGTCATTGAGATTTTTTAGAACAATAATGACACTAAGGAGATTTAGTTTCTTTCAAAATGCCTACATTTTGACAACAAAAAGACCTACCAAGAAAGAAAAAAGAAAAAAACCCCAACAATTTGGCTATTTGCTTATATTTCAAAAGCTTTGTTTCAAACTGTCAAGCAATTTATACACTGTCTGAATACATGACAATTGACAAACAACTTGCATCGTTTCGGGGTTGTTGAAGGTTTCAGCAATATATGCCAAATAAACCTTCCAAATATGGTATAAAAATACATGTCATTGTAGCTGTGAAGACATTTTACACCTTGGATTTAGAAATTTATCCCAGAACTCAGCCATCAGGTCTTTATTTGTGCAGTAATAAACCATAAGACATTGTGAACAGACTTGTTGCACCTATTTTAAAAAGTCACCCAAATGTCACACTTGAGAATTGGTTCACAAGTTACCCATTGATGTTACATTTGCTAAAAGAACACTAATTGACCAACACAGAAACTATTCAAGAACAGAGTGTTTTAAGTGGCTGTTGTTATGTGGAATATTCTAGAATAATTTTTATAAATTATATAATACATATATGAAAATTCCTAAGTGTGTGTGTGTGTGTGTAGTGTAGTATAGTGTAATAATGCAACAGTATGAGGCCACTAAGTGCCCTGAGTTTAAAATAAAAGCATTTATTCCCACTAAATTTCGGGGTTTGCTCTGAACTCTGGTGGGTCTAACTCTGGGGCTCTTCTCCCTCTTTCTTCTGTCTCTCTCCCTGTCTCTCCCTGTCTCTCCCTGTCTCTCCCTCTCCTCTCCTCTCCTCTCCTCTCCTCTCCTCCCCTCCCCTCTCCTCTCCTCTCTCTGAGGTCACAGACTTACTTAGGTAAATAAATGAGCAGAAGTATGAAGTTAGAGGGATGCTATTTGCCTTGAATCTGGAATATAGGCAAGCTCTGCTGGCTTTCTTCTGCCACTTGAAACTCTAACCATCCTCTATGGTAGCAATCATGTAAGTATGTGTCTTTCTTTTCTAACAACCTTTGCTGAGGATGGAACCCAAGGACTCAAGCATGCCCGACAAGCACTCCACCACTAAGCCATATCCTCAGTCCTCTGTATTTTGAGCCACAATCTCGCTAAGTTCCCAAGTTGTCCCGGGTAGTTAGGAACTTGCAATCCTCCTGCCTCATATACCTGAGTAGCTGGTTTCACACCACCATACCCAGCTTCCAACATACTCTGATGTTCTGGAAGCAGAGAGCTGGCCTTTTTTCCCAACACACTCCTATCCCAATGTGCATACCTAGCATGACACATGGCATGCAGAAGTTGGCCAACCTTGTCTGTTAGACACGTGTCCATCCCAGGTGCCAGATGCCACAGACATACAACCTCCACGTGTCTTCAGTGCCCTCCCTCACACTGCCTGTACTCCTGCTGGGGCTCAGAAGGTCCTTGGGGTTGCCCATCTATAGGCTCCCTCAGCAGAAGAGGGGGTGGCTGACATTTTCACAAAGGTGAGATACGATACAGTAGCTGGGGAGACACCTACCTGGGAGTTGGTGGAAGAGGTTCAAGTGGAACAAACGTGTCAAACTTCTTCTGGTACGGCACCCTGAAAACCAGACACCCTGAACTTGGTGTGGCTACGCCAGCATAGACATCAGCACATCACTGGGTAGCGTTCCAAGAAAAGATCTCAGGGCTGGAGATTTAGCTCAGTGGTTCTGCCGCCTGCCTTGCAAGTGCAAGGTCCCGAGTTCAACCCCCAGTACAAAAAAACCCAAAAAACAAAAGAAAAGATCTCATTTCCTTGTTATAATTTTCAAGTATGGGCTTTAAAACTGCAAAGGTCATAATTTGTATTGTTTTTTATTATTTTTCATTGAAATCATGTCACACAAGGTTCATTTAAAAATATTTTACTATAATACAACAACTATCTCCTTTTTATTTATTCATTTTTGTCTGTGTGTGTGTGTACTGGGGATTGAACCCCGGGCCTTCACACTGAGCTACATCCCCAGCCCTTCTTAATATTTGTTTTGAGACATGGTCTCACTAATCGGACTCGAACTTTCGATCCTCCAACAAGCCTCTCAGAGTGCTGGAATTACAGGTGTGTGCTGCCATGCCTGGATTCTCTTTTAATTTAATGATCTTCCCACATTCTTCTCAATCATTTGGTCTAAGTTTACTTCTGAGTTTAAGTCCACTAATCACTACCTGGCTCAACATGAAAATTCAAAAGTCTTCAAGTCTGTGGTAAAAGAGATAGGGAAAAAATTAACAATCACCTTTTTCTAGTCAAGATCTTGCATGTAATTGCATACATGTATTGAAATGTCCCACTGTAATGCATGAATTTGTAAAATTACCAGATGTCAATTAAAAATGAAAATATATTTTAAAAATCTTGGGTCCTTCATAATTTCAATCACACTCACCTGTGTGCCGACTAATTAAAAGTGAACTTTGTAAGTTTTTTGCCTGCTCATGTCTTGTCCACCCCTTCAAAAATATAATTTACACACAGCAGAGAAATCCTTTAAAGTTAAAGAAATAACCCTGGAATCAGTGTGTACTCACAAGGAAAAGTTTACTGGCGGCAGAGTGGACCCTGCCTGGTGGAAGCCTTTACTCTGCTCTGGGGACATATACGGATTGTCCCCTGGGGTTAACTTCGGGATTCCGTTCCTGGGATCCATATCTGTGGAAAACATTTGAGAACAGCATCAATCACTCAAAGGGCTGAAGGTGACCTGCAGATTGGGAGTTCTGTGGAAGTTTCTTGAAGTTCTGTGTGAGATTCTCTCAACTTGAGATAAAGATCAGAGTGGGAACGAAGTTTGGGACATTTCATTATGGGGGGGCATTTCATTATGGTGATCACTTTCCCCTGGGAAAACACAGGCTTGAGTTCAGATGGGGGTTTCTGTTTAACACAGCTGGTACAGGAAAGGGGGTCCGAGCAACATTTCCAGAGACCTCTGACTTACATATCTTTTCTTTTTGTTGTTGTTGTTTTTGTTTGTTTTTTGTTTTGGTATCAGGGATCGAACTCAGGTCCTTGCACTTGCAAGACAGGTGGTGGAACCACTGAGCTAAATCCCCGGCCCCCTACACATCTTTTCATTCCCAAGCATTTGTGCACTTTCAGTCCCTGGGTCCTAGAAAGCCCCAGAAGCAGCTTCCTGGGGGCTCCCGGGCTGGATCAGGGGGGAAATCTGCTACTGAGTGTCCTGCACCTCCTGCTACAAGGATGGGGCACCAAGCAGTCTTTGAATAAAATAACCCAGTAAAGGGCATCCTCCTGCCTCAGCCTCCCAGAGTGCTGGGATCACAGATGTACACCACCATCCCTGACTTTTTTAAAAAAAAATCCTTCTCTTTCAAAAGACTTTCCAATAACTAAAAGTCTGTGTCTATACTTCCTATTAGCTCTGTGTGCAGTGAAAGCACCAACTGGGCCAAACCTTGAGCACTGGTTGAGGACTCAAAGTAGGGAGAGGGGAGGGACCAGATCTTCTGAATAGCAAACCCAGGCATGGACAGGTGAGCATCAGGTGACAGTGAGAGGTGCTACGAAGGGTTTGGACCCCAGAGTCAGCCACACTTGAGTGCAAACTGAACTCTGCAATTTCTGGCTCTGTGCCTTTGAGCTGTTTGACTTCCGTACGCCTTGGTAGCCTCATTTGTGAACTGCTTATTTCGAATGTTGACTTTGCAGAGCTATCATAAGCGGGAAATGAGACTGGCACAAGCACATAACTGGTGCGCAAGAAAGGGTAGCAATCAATCAGTGTCATACAGCACATTAATAGAGCCAAGGACAAAAACCACGTGATCATCTCAATAGACACAGAAAAAGCATTTGACAAAATCCAGCACCCATTCATGATAAAAACCCTACAGAAAATTGGAACAGACGGTCTTTATCTCAACCTGATAAAAGCCATCTATGACAGACCAACAGCCAACATCATGCTAAATGGTCACAACCTGAATGTGTTTACTCTAAAATCAGGAACAAGACAAGGATGTTCACTATCACCACTCCTGTTCAATATAATTCTGGAAATGTTAGCCAGAGCAGTTAGACAAGAGAAAGAGATAAAAGGAATATGGATAGGAAAGGAAGAAGTTAAATTATCATTATTTGATGATGACATGATCCTCTACATAGAAGACCCCCAAAACTCCACTAAAAGACTCCTAGAATTAATAACCAAATTAAGCAGCATAGCAGGATACAAAGTCAACACTCAAAAACCTATAGCACTCCTGTACACAAATAACAAATTCATTGAGTGAAACAATGATTTTCATAATAGCATCAAGAAAAATGAAAAAAAAATTTTTGGTACCGGGGACCTTGCACATATGAGGCAGGCAGCAGCACCACTGAGCTAAATCCCTAGCCCAAGAAAAATGAAATACTTAAGAATCAATCTAACAAAGTGAAAAATCTGTACACTGAAAACTACTCTGAAAAAGGAGATCAAAGGGGATATCAAAAAATGGAAAAATATCCCCTGTTCTTGGATAGGCAGAACCAATATACTGGAAATGGCCATACTTCCAAAACTGTTATAAAAATTTAATGCAATCTCAATCAAAATACCAATAGCATACCTCACAGAACTAGAGAAAACAATGCTAAAATTTATATGAAACCAGAAGAGACCTATAGCAAAAGCAATTCTGGGCAACAGGGGCGCAACAGGGGCACAGCAGGTGCTATCAGAATCCCAGATTTCAAATTATAATACCAGCTGGGTGGTGAACACCCATAATCCCAGTACATCTGTAATCGGGAGGCTGAGGCAGGAGGATCACGGCAAGTTCAAGGCCAGCCGAGGCTACACAGTGAGCTCAGGGCAAGCTTGGACTATAAAGCAAGACCCTGTCTCAAAAAAAAAAACAAAAAAAAAAAACAAGTTAAACTACAAAGCTACTGTGATACTGCATGGTACTAGCAAAAAAAAAAAGAAAAAAAAAAAAAAAAAAACCCAAGGGCCAATGGAACAGAATAGAAGATGCAGAAACAACTCCAAGCATAGTCATCTTATCTTCAACAAAGGAGCCAAACTCTTTCACTAGAAGAAAGATAGTCTTGGGCTGGGGATTTAGCTCAGTGGTTCTGCTGCCTGCCTCGCAGGTGCAAAGTCCTAAGTTTGATCCCCGGTATCAAAAAAAAAAACCGATAGAAAGATAGTCTCTTTAATAAATGGTGCTGGGAAAACTGGCTTTCCCCATGCCAAAGATTAGAACTAGACCCATATCTTCACCACACACTAACCTAAAATCAAAATGGATCAAAGATCTAAATGTAAAAACAGAAACACTTAATCTGCTGGACGATAGAATAGGTAAAACTCTTGAAGACATAGGCGTAGACAAAGACTTTATGAACAAAACCCGATCACACAGGAAATACTACAAAGAATCAACAGCTAGGCTCTCATCTTATTAAAAAGCTTTTACACAGCAAAAGAAACCACCAACAGAGTGAAGAGACAACACACAGAATGGGAAAAAATTTTTACCAGCTACTCCTCAGACAAAGGACTAACATTTAGAATATACAAAGAACTCAAAAAAAACAGACCCCTCAAATTTACAGACCCAATCCAAAAATGGGATCTGAAATGAATAGACACTTCTCAAATGAAGAAGTACAAGCAGCAAATAAATATGTGAAAAAATCCCCAACATTACTGGTCATTCAAGAAATGCAGTTAAAACAACAGATTCCACCTCACTCCAGGAAGAATGGCTGTCATCAAGAAATCAACACAAGGGCCAGGGATTTAGCTCAGTGGTTTCACCGCCTGCTGTGCAAGCACAAGGACCCGAGTTCGATCCCCAGTACCAAAAAAAAAAGAAAGAAAGAAAGAAAAAGAAATCAACACAATAACAAATGCTGGCAAGGCTGTGGGGATAAAGGAACCCTTCTCCATTGCTGGTAGGAGTGCAGGCTGGTGCAACCACTGTGGAAATCAGTGTGAAGATTCTTCAAAAACTAAACCTAGAAGTTCCATTTGACCCAGTTGTTCCTCTTCTAGATATCTTCCCGAAAGAGTTAAAAGCATCATACCACAGTGATGTATGCATCCCCATGTTTATAGCAGCACAATTTATAATAGCCAAATCTTAGAAACAGCCCGTATGTCCATAAAAAGATGAATAAATAAAGACAATGTGGTATTTATGTACAATGGAGTTATGAGTCTGCCATAAGATGGATAAACTTGAGTCATTTGCAGGAAAACAGATACACCTCAAGATCATAATCTTTTTTTTTTTGCGGGGGCAGGGTACCGGGGATTGAACTCGGGTCCTTGCGCTTGTGAAGCAGGTGTCGGAACCACTGAGCTAAATCCCCAGCACAAGATCATAATCTTAAATGAAATAAATCCAACAAACAAGTTTAAATATCACCTTGTTTCTCTTGTTCAAATGCGAAGAGGAACAAGGGAGTGAGGAGGGAAGAAAGGGAAAAGGAAAAAACAACAGAATAGAAGGAAAAAAATGGAAGCAAAGTTTTGTAAATGGGGAGGGGAAGAAGGGTTGAAGGGAAGGGAGGAGAATGGGAAAAAAAGGATCAAGATATATTATGTACAGGTACAAATTCCCTATGATGAATGTGACCAACATGTGTGACAAATATGTACTAACAAAAAAATGTAGAAAAAACAGCAAAATAATAATAATACCCCAGAAACAACAACAACAAAGAAATGGTAGCAGTTATTATTCTTTGAAATCAGGACTGGAGTAATAACTTCCTCATCACAATTAGGTGTTTTTGTGGGGGTTTTTTGTACCAGTGATCGAACTCAGGACCTTGTGCTTGAGAGACAGGCACTGTGCCACTGAGCTAAATCCCCAGTCCCACAATTAGTTTTTTATCTGAGAAATCCAGTTGTCATTTAGCTAAGATAGAATCCTCTCCCTTGGGAATCTTACCTATTTGGGGGACAAGACAGATCAATAAGGACATAAACAATAACCAGAGGGTGGAAAATGTCACACACTATAGAACAGTAGCTCTGAGGATCATCTAAGAGCTTGTTGAAAATTCATCATCCTAACTGGATGTGGCGGTGCATGTCTGTCCTCTCAGCACTCTGGGAGGCTGAGGCAGGAGAGTTGCAAGTTCAAACCTACTCTGGGCAACTTAGTGACTTAGCAAGGCCCTGTCTCAAAATTAAACGTGAAAAAGGCTGGGGATGTAGCTCAGAGAGAAGATCCTGAGTTTAAAAAAAAAAAAAGCAAGCAGCTTTCTGGCTCTAACTGGAGAAATTCTGTTTCAGAAGAGCTGGAGTGTTTCCCAGAATGAGGGTTTTTTTGGCAAATTTTCTGATTGATTATGATGTAGGCAGTCTGAGGACAATGCTTGGAAAGACACTATCATAAAAGATCTCACAAGACAGGATCCACAAGTGGAGAAAGAGCCTGGATGTAAGTATGCTACTTTTCAGGGAACATCTCCCAAACAACTTCTGAGATTTCACATTTGTGTTAGCTACTAGGTGTAATGTGGGACCTTGGTGTAATTTCTGAATATTTCACAAAAAATAGGTGTCAGCCCGGAGCACTGGCCCATGTGTCCCCACAGCTGATGGCCTGTGACACTTCCTGGTCAGTTCCCTGCTTGTTACGATCTCAGACCATCCATCATCCTGGTGTTCAGATGTTCAGAGGTGGAACATGGGGCGTTCACTACATGACCTCTTCCACCCCATGCTTTCACCTGCCAGTGCACTTAGGCGGATCAATGGGCTGTGAGCAGACACAACGCGCGTCACGTCCAAGATTCGGTGTTTGAGCAGCTCACGTGTGACCTCTCAGCACTTTTTAGCCTGATGTGGCAACCTTAGAAGCCACTTGTAAGATGTGGAAAAGTCACAGGGTAGAAGCAGAGGGGGATCCTCAAGTCACTACCTGGCAGGGAACCCAGGCCTGGATCCACAGAGGACTTTACAGGAGGAAAAAGCAAACTTTAATGATTAAACTACTGAGACTTCAAGATTCTACTGCAGCAGAATCTGTCCTATTCTGATTAATACAACATGCTATTCTCCAGGAAAAGATGTACAATTGAAAACTGGTATTTCCAGGCCTATTCCCCACAACCTATAACCATAGGTATCATACGTTCTTTCTTCTGTGGCAACCATTAGGCCTTTAGGGAATTCCACCAACAGCCTGGTCATGGCCGATGAGCTAAGACAGCATTATTTAATATATTCTGACTGATTTTTTCCTTATGATAAATATGTTGTATCACAGTTTAAAATGACAGCTGGCGGACAATTCCTGTCCAGTCCTCTGTATCCTGTCCAAGAAATAACAAAGGAGGAGAGAATCCCACAAAGGAAGATGTGTCCCGTGTGGAGCTTAAGAGTGTCAGGTGTGGCCATGAAATCACGGGGGACAGAAAGTGGAAAGAGGTGTTGAGAAGCCACTGCACGTTACCGCCTGAGAAGTGATCATCTGAAACAAGTAGAGTTTGGATAGCCTACTCCCATCTACAGGAGAGGAGAACCTGTTAAACGGCACGGGGAGGTCACTGGCAAAGTCCTGATTGTGGTAACCTCTCCAGGACAAAGGTCTCGTTTCTTCACCAAACTGCACTGAAACCATGAAGGAGGAACTGAAAGAGACCTAAGTGGCACTTAACTAATTCCAGTGCGTAGACTCGCTTGCCTCTGGCTTCAAACAAACTAAAATATTAAAAATTGCAGAATTTGTGAGACAATTGGGTTTTTGCACACTGACTGAATATTTGGTGAGTTTTTTGTTTTGTTTTTCTTTTAGTACTGGGGATCGAACTCAGGACCTTGTGCTTGCCAGGCAGGTGCAACACCACTGAGCTACATCCCTGCCCTGAATGTTTGGTGAGATTAAGAAATTATTGTTCATGGAATTAATATGAGAAAATGGAAAAATAGGAACAAAATCTTTGTAAATAGGGAGGAATGGAGGGGTTGAAGGGAGGGCTGGGCAAGGG